GTGTGGATGCGGAGGTGGCTTTTGAGGGTCTGCAGGTGGCGGAATCGAGTCCCGCAGGTGCCACACGGGTAGGGCTTCTCTCCCGTGTGGATCAAGACGTGGGCTCGGAGATGGGCCACCTGCGAGGGGAGTGGGGGGGGGAAACATCCAGTGAAGCCACCTCTTTTTTTGGGGGGGCAATGGGTTTGAGCCCACCCTACACCCTTCCACAGGTTGCATCTGTACCCCCAGGGGCGAAGCTGGAAATATAGGTGATCGTTTCATCCCGTCGAGCCTCCCCAGTCAGAGGCAGTCTACCTCCCAAGAGCCCACGGCAGACAGGTTGACCCCCCCCACACCCGGAAAAGCAGGATGCTGGCTACATCCTGGGAGAGGGGGGGCGCTTGTCTTTGACCCACGGAGCGGTCTCCGTTAGTGTTTTGTTTTAGATGATTTCTTTTAATTTCGTTTTTAAATCAAATAAACTCTTTCGACTTGCTGAGCAATCCTGAGCAGGGGGTTGGACTAGATGACCTCCAAGGTCCCTTCCAACTTTATTATTATTATTATTATTATTATTATTATTATTATTATTATTATTATTATTATTATTATTATTAAATTACATGAGTGGGTACATCTCGAGAGAGAGAAAAAACACCTCCAAATCATGGGTAATAATAATAATAATAGTAACAATAGTAATAATAGTAGTAGTAGTAACAACAACAAAACAACAACAACAACAACAACAACAACAACAACAACAACAATAATAATAATAATAATAATAATAATAATAATAATAATAATAATAATAATAATAGTGTTGGAAGGGACCTTGGAGGTCTTGTAGTCCAACCCCCTGCTCAGGTTGATGGTGGTGGCCGCCATTTTGATTTTTTTGACCCACCTATCGAGTGTGATTCCCAGGACATTCCCTGGCGTCTCCTTACCTGCACAAAACAAGACCCACACATCTCACACTTGTAGGGTTTCTCTCCGGAGTGGATGCGCAAGTGCGTCTTGAGGTTAGCCGGCCGGTTAAACTGGGCCCCGCAGACGCCGCAATGGTAGGGCTTCTCTCCTGTTGACCGGAAGACAGAAGGGGGGGGGGAAGGTTTTGGAGCATCGAACCTGCGGATTGGTCCTTTGCTCTGCCAGCCCTACTGGCTGGGGAATTCTGGGAATTGAAGTCCACCCAGCTTAGGAGGCTCCCTGCCCACCTGCATGCAAGGACCGATGGCTGGCCAGGCTCCCCTTGCCATGGAAAGTGGAACTGCAGAAGTGGCACTTGTAGGGCTTCTCCTGGGCACCTGGGGCTGGGCTGCCCCCCTCCTCCTCTTCCTCCTCTTCCCGAAGGTATTGCAGATCACAGGCCTTGCAGCTGGAGGATCCACTGCCTGGGAGCAAGGAAAGAAATGGACTTTGCTAGCGCTTTCTCTCTCTCTCTCTCTCTCTCTCTCTC